TTTTTTGAGAGAGTGAGGGAATGAGAGTAGGGAAGGGGCAGAGAGAGAGGGAGAGAGAGAGAATCCCAAGCAGACTCTGCACTGTCAGAGCAGAGCCAATGCAGGGCTCAAACCCATGAACTGCAAGATCATGACCTGAGCCAAAATCAAAAGTTGGATGCTTAACCAACTGAGCCACCCTGGTGCCCCGAGATTCTGTCTTTTTAATTTATCTTCCATTTTAGGTAAAGATGCTAATCCCCAGGAGAGAAAGGCTGCAATGAAGACAGCTGAAGAATTTCTAAAGCAAATGAATTATTCCACCAATACCCAAGTATGTGTGGACATGAACTGGCTAGAAAAAAAAAAAAAAAAAAAAAAAAAAGAACATGGGAGCTCCTCATATTGCCACAAAACTCATGAGAGAATTTGGTTCAAAGTAATATATGCATGGGAGTCACTCTTCACTTACATGTGTGCAACATGGTATCCTGTTGGGCCTACAAAGCTAGGCCCATAACTTTGGATGGAATTTTGCAGAAACTGAAGATCATCCCTTCTGTGGGGCTGTATGATGAAAATAAGACCCTATCTGCTTCCTCCACAGCATTTCAGTCAAGATAATCAGCCACAGTTGAGTTAACTGAGAGCACTTTTCAGTTAGTCCTTAGAGCAAGTTGTACAGACGTGGGCTGATAGCCAGACAATATTTGGCCTCACTGAAATGAGCTTAGATACCTGCTAGTTACTCCTCCTTTTCTGAATCTTTCAGACTCATCCTTTCTCTTCATTTTTGCATCCTAGCACAAGTAACACAATGAGATTGTTTCTTCCAGGTCACAGACCTCTTATAAACCTAATGCAGAAAAACAGTCCAGTGTGTTTGACTATAATGGTAACATAGGAAAGAACTTTGTTCTTATTTCACACATCCAAATTCAGTGGCAGTCACTGTAGTTGTGACAAAAAGCATTGGATTGTTTTACCTTCATATTTGGTCACCTTCCATCTTACATTCCGGTAAGAATCCCAGCTTCTAAGTTTACATCTGTCATCACAGGTGCCAAGACAATCTTTTTCGTTTCCTTAGTTTTTTTCTCCATCCCTGGTTGAATGTTTTTCCTCAGTCTCTTATTTTCCGCTGCATAATTACTTTTTTTTTTTTAACTTTAGATTCAAGTTCTTCCAGAAGGAGGGGAAACACCAATCTTCAAACAGTTCTTTAAGGACTGGAGAGATAAAGATCAGAGTGATGGCTTCGGGAAAGTGTACGTCACCGAGAAAGTGGCTCGAATAAAACAAATTCCTTTCGATGCCTCAAAACTACATAGTTCTCCGCAGATGGCAGCCCAGCACAATATGGTGGATGATGGTTCTGGCAAAGTGGAGGTATTTGGCTATTTCTGCTTGTGTTTTTTGTTTTCACCAAGCCCATTTATGCCAGTGCACTTGGAGATGTAACTTCAGGAAACTACAAACTTTGTAAAATGTGAATTTTATTTATGAATAAAGGTGACCCATGACTATATATTAAGTCAGGGAATTTAAAGCTGGAAAAGATGATCTCTGACCTTCAATCCTATTTTACAATGTGTATGTTGAGATTCCAAGAATCTCATCCTTAGAGACGTCATCTTAGAGATGTGGAACCCAGCCGTCTCTTTCCCTGGTCCAGAATCGCTCCAGCTCTTGGAACTGGGATTGTCCAGTGATACTGTACCAAATATCATTAGTTAGTCCTTTCTTGTAGCTTACAGGCATTCCCAAAGCAAATTGGACATGTGCTAAAATCACAGATATTTTTAGAGCATTCAAATTGTTTGATGTTACTCTTTTTTTTTTTGACAAAAATGCTAATAACCCTCTAATAACTCTCCCTAACTCAGCTCTCACCACACTCTATTCTTGAGTCACTTCACTTAATGAGAACTGGGTAATGTCACATCTTATTATAAAATATTTTAATGGTGGGGCGCCTGGGTGGCTCAGTCTGTTATGGCTCCGACTTTGGCTCAGATCATGATCTCATGGTTTGTGAGATGGAGCCCCGCAGCAGGCTCTGTGCTGACAGTTTGGAGCCTGAGACCTGCTTCAGATTCTCTCTCTCTCTCTCTCTCTCTCTCTCTCTCTCTTGCCCCACCCCCATCCCCAAACTTGTGTTCTGTCTCTATCTCTCAAAAATAAACAAACGTTAAAAAAAATTTAAAAATAATTAAAAAAAGGGGGCACCTTGGTGGCTCAGTCGGTTAAGCATCCGACTTCAGCTCAGGTCATCATCTCACGGTCTGTGAGTTCAAGCCCTGCATCAAGCTCTGTGCTGACAGCTCAGAGCCTGGAGGCTCATTCAGATTCTTTGTCTCTCTCTCTGTTTCTCTCTACCCCTCCCCCACTCATGCTCTGTCTCTGTCTCCAAAATAAACATTAAAAAAATTTTTTTTAAATAATAAAAAAAAATACTTTAATGGCTCTGCATAGTCTTCCTGAGAATATTCATCTTAAGCTGGGCCTACAAGGCCTTCAGTGCCTAGATCCTGGCTGTCCTCTCTGCCTCACCCTTCCACTGCCTGAGGGCACTTCCCCTCCTCCCTCGGGCTAACATCCCCACTCCTCCTTTGTAATTCAGTTAAGTCACAAGCTGCATCTCTTGGAGAAGCCTTTCCTCCCATACTGGAACATGCTCAAACCAACCAGTATTTTTCACAGAACCCATCGTACTGTTCATTAACTTACAAACTTACAAAGCAGAATTGTTCAGTTACTTAGAAAGTTCTCCTCCTAGACCTCTTGTTAGTTCCTTGAGGGCAGGAATTGAATATTTTATCTTCGTATTCTCAAGGCTTACCACCAATATTTGGAGCAAAGTATAGGGTAAAGAGATTTAAGACGCAGTTTTTCCTCTTTTTGAAAGGCATGAAGTGAGAATCTAAGGTGTCCAGGGTTGTGGGAACGGTGAAAGGAGAAATGGCAGAGGGGTCTCAGCTTCTGGTCTGGGTCTTTCTCCTGCCCAGCAGGTCTCATGGCAGACTTGGCTCCCCAGCACCAACTATGTTCCCACTGCATTCTCCGTTTGTCACAGGTCACTGCGTCTCAGAGATGTCCTCCTGAGTCACCCCAGGACTGCTGAAATCTGGGGCTCTCTCTAGGCTTTTGGGCTTAGCCTGGCAGCTCTGGGGTTTCTCCTCTGCTCACCAGGATGACGCTGGAAGGCTTCTGTCTGCGAGCTCTGCCACCTGCTCATCTCTCTAAATTTCGAAGCGAGGGGTGTACCCTGCCCCTGCCCAGGAGGGCGGGCATGCGCACAGTGCCTGGCGTGCTCTCTCCTGTTACTTTCCTGGTTCATCTACAGCTCTGCTTTCTCCAACTTGGAGTGTCTTTAATCTGTGATGAGGATGAGAAACTAGAAAAAAAAAAATGGTTCTCCTACTTTTGTGCATTCGGTCTTCTGCCTACATGGCACCTTTTAAAAACAATCATGCAATCGGTGTCTTGATTATGTGGTCTCCATCTGCCACTCTTGCCTGAGAAGATAATAGTTTCATGGATTAAAATTCAGGGAAAAAATATTTTTAAATAAACAAACAAGGTATCTCCCAATGGATGAGAAATGTGATGCAAACTAAGAGATTTATTTCTGAGCTGAATATTTTAGTTCATTATTCCACTGGAGTCTAGTGCTATTTTCACTAGTCAATGAAGCAATAGTTATGTATTAATCAATACGCTCAGAACTGAGCTAAGTACTATGGA